TGGAAGACCTTGACACTGAAATAAAGCAATTCCAAGAAGCAGTTGACCTTACACCAAATGGCCACCCACATAGGGCAGGTCGTCTGCAGAGCCTTGCTGCATCCTTCATGGATCAATACAAGAGGCTGGGGGACCTGAATGATCTAGAAAGTGTCCACACTCTTTACACCGCTTCCTTCAAAATCCTTACTTCAGACCCAGAGGCCTCTTGGCAAGCAGCTCTGCATTGGGCTTCCATTGCAGAATTGGTCAAGTCACCACATGCTGTAATAGCATACTCAAATGCCTTCAATCTGCTGCCTGAGATTCTCTGGATGGGCAATATCCTTTCTGTACGGCATGCAGCCATGCACCGGCTGAATATTGGACAAGCCACCTCAGCTGCTGTACGGACCTGCATTAACTTCTCTAATCTCAAATCTGCAGTGGAAATCATGGAACAGGGCCTAGGCATCACATTCCAGCAGATGCTCCAGCTAAGGCCAGATTTGGATGAACTTCTCCCTGACCAAGCAAAGACATTACAATTCTTGTCCTCAGAGCTCTATAGTGGCACATCCCTTGATCCCAGAGGTCTTGCTATTAAGAGGCAGGACTTATTGAAAGAGATCCGTCAGCAGCCAGGTCTTGAATATTTTCTGCTCCCAAAACCATACAAGGCACTTTGCCATGCATCCCAAGGGGGACCTGTCATCATCCTGAACAGTCACCATGACCATTGTGATGGGATCATCATCCTGGATCCAACATCAGATCCAGTGCATGTTCCATTTCCAGATATGACACTAGATATGTTGACATTACAACAAGAAGTACTCAACAAACTCCTTGGCCATTGCAATGTCAGAACACGAGAAGAATCCACATCAACTAGACTATTTGGCAATTGGGAGGTGTTTGGATCTGAACCACCTGAAGAGTGTTTTGCAGATCTATTAGTCTGGCTCTGGAATTATATTGTTGATCCTGTTTATCAGATCTTGGAATCAGTTAGTGCCTATCTTGCTACTTCCTTCACATTCCACTAATATTTTGTTTAGCATGGCATTAATGGTGGTAGATTATGGTGGTTGCCAACTGGAGCATTCACAGGACTACCTCTCCATGCAAGCTCTCCAACCAACCAGTTCATTCATTCCTATACTGCAACATTGGCATCTTTGCTGGATGCCTATGCAAAGAAGATCTCCACTACTCCTAAATTTGGTATTGTTGGAGTAACAGACACTGGTGGTGGATCCAATTATCTTCAGGGCGTGGAACAAGAAGTCAAAAACATTCTCTCCATCATCAACAAATCCCAAGTAGACTGCCTTGAAGGAGAACAAGCTACAGTGGATGCTGTGAAACTCCAGCTACAGAACTGCTCCTTGATCCACTTGGCATGCCATGGTACACAAGATGTGGTTGAACCCACTAAGAGCCGACTTCTGCTTTACAGAGGTAACTTGGAGATGGAAACTATCCTTCAGATGCCTCTGTCAAATGCAGAATTTGTGTTTCTTGCTGCATGTCAGACAGCTATGGGTGATGCAAAACTTGTGAATGAATCCTTTCATCTGGGTGGAGGATTTATTGCAGCAGGATTTCGAGGTGCCATTGGGACAATGTGGTCTATGAATGATTCTGATGGTCCACTGGTTGCAGAGATTCTCTACTCTCACCTGTTCAGGGAGGGTCGATAGCCACAGGCAAGTGATGCAGCCGAGGCTCTGCAGCTAGCTGTGAAAGAATTGAAGGCCAGAAAAGTTCCTTATGAGCGTTGGATACCATTCATTCACATGGGAGTTTGATCCTAGTCTGAGATATATGTTTGAATTTACCATTATATTTTCCTTGTCCTGTATTTACTCTGTAGCCTTGTTGACACTGTTTCTGCTAGTTAGCTATCATAAATTTGAAGACCTCTCCCAGAAATTCCACAGATATGTTGATCTTATGCGGATTGGCAGGAACTCCACTTTTTCCCCAGGCGACCTCCAGATTAATTTGATGTGCAAATAGCTGACAGTCACAGAGGACCACATATTCCAACCCCAAGATCTCAAACAATTCCATTATTCTATGTTGACTGACATCAGCAAGATAGAAAATCTAAGGACTTTCGAAAACCTCAAATCTCACCATCTTTTTGTGGGTGTTTTACAAGGGAGTTTCAAGCACTTGGGTCACTTCAACTTCCAACCATACAGCACCAGTCAATTTCAAACTGGATTATCATGCTGACATGGTCAAGGTTTTCCTAGTACCAACCTAGGGACCAGGTCTCAAAACTGTAACTCTGATAGGACATTCTGCATGTCTCGATCACTTGCTGTATCACATGCTTTTCACCCTCAAAACCATGTAACTCAGTCATCAAAAAAAAACATGTCTCGATCATGCAGCATATTTAAGAACACCCGATCCTAGTTTGTTTCAATCTTTTAAGATATCAGCTAACTTCATGGTATGTTGCCCATAGGTGCGTTGCTCCAGGACTTCCCCCAAGCAGTCCACAGTGCAGAGTACCCCCCTCAAAGTTTTGATTGGTTTCCTTCCATGACTTATCTCTTTCCTTAACAATATAAGTCACTAAGTTATGCATAGTGCTTTGAAGTGCTCCACTGCAGGCACTTAACATCCACAATGTTCTTGTTTAAAGTCCAGCGAGCAGGTGTACATATCTCTGTACATTTTTTCTCTTCTACCATTTGTCTCTCTCTCGGGTGATTCAAATCTCTCAGTTCTGCGATGCGCCTAGCAGAGTACAAGATCTGGCTTGAGGCAGTTCAGTTGGGGTAATAGCATGACCACCTGGGTGTAATGGGGACTTGAACAATATTGTACAGTGTGCTCAGATATCACATCTGTATGGGTAGATGTATTAGCATCGAAAAAGAGATATAAGGTGTTGGATCGACCAAAGTAGGGGTAGCGGTTGGCTGTATCGGTAACAGGGAGCACCTGGAGGGCCTTATGAATTTAATGCCAGAGCTAATTTAATGACTTCATTGATGGAGATGGTCCGCTTCACACTGTGTAGGATGGTTGGATGTTTAACCCACGGCTAAAAAATGTGGGGCATAAATGGTGTAGTGAATTATAGTGAGGGGACACCTGGAGGCGGAATGGTCCGCATCTGTCCACTATAAGCGGCTTCTGGCGTCGATTGTAATTCAGGAGCTCCCTGTTCGCTTAGAGGCCAGGTGATTTCGCAGCACTTGTTCCTTTTTCGTCATCATGTTTTTTTTTTCAATACCGCTTCTTGAGGGGTAAATTACGTCGCAACAAGCTGGGAAGACCGCATTTGAATGTTGGAGGGAGGTAGAATCCAATGGGCGCCTGCCGCGCTTATCTGTCATCAGTTCTTGAAATAATCGGGTATTTATGGAGGTCGTGTTTGTGGGTAGGGAAGACCTGGAGGCGGAGTGGTCCGCATCTGTAAACAGTCGGTAGTGAATTAGAAATCTGTAAACAGAAGGCCCCGTTCGATTCGGGATCAGGCTCCATCGTCATCTTCTTTTCGCCCTTGACAAGAATTTGACCTCTTTTCTGCCTTTATTTTTTTCCAAATACTCGTGCCGGAAAAGAGGGTGAGTTCTTGAGAGGAAAGACCTGGAGGCGGACTGGTGCGCATCTGCTCAAAGTGCGTTTCGGACGACATTGACACAGAAGATCTCCGTTGGAGTCGGGGCCAGGTCATTTGGGACTGCAACCACATTCTTTTTCTGTCTTTGGTCCCGGAAATAATTGTGCAGGTAAAGAGGATCAATTCAGAGAGAGGAAAGACCTGGAGGTGGAGTGGTCCGCGTCTGCACACTGTAACTGAAGTAGCACCATGTATGCGCAGAAGACCCCCGTTCGATTCGGGGCCAGGTCATTCAAATTAGTCGACCGTGGATTTTTTTGTGCCAGAATCCTCGAGAAACGGCTTGTATAAGTAGGGCAGCGTTTAAAGAACAAAGACCTGGAGGCACAATGGTCCGCGTCTGCTCAGAGAAAAAATATTTGAGACGTGGTAACATGCGCAGACGGATCCCGTTCCACTCGGGGCCAGCTCATTCGGGAACCGCACAATATTTTTCGTTATCGTTTCGGCCTGTGCTTCAAAGGATTGTAAATAGTGTCAGTTTATAAGGAGGGAAGACCCGGAGGCGGAGTGGTCCGCATCTGCCTAATATTGACGAGAATGGCACCATGATGCAGAAGACCCCCGTTCGATTCGGGGCCAGGTGTTGAGTCTTCATTTTTTTGCAACCTAGCCAAGGAATCAACCATATTTCCTTTAAATAGTGGTACAGATGAAGAAGACGGTTTCTGAGATCTGAGGGAGGGAAGACCTAGAGACAGACATAAACTAGATCTTTGTTCGCTACCGTACACCGTTACCAAGAAATCAAGCCCGTCTTCCGCCTCAATATTTTTACATAAATAATCATGCAGGTAAGTAGGGCGTGTTTACAAGGAGGAAAGACCTGAAGCTGGAGTGGACCGCATCTGTTGTGGTCGTTTAAACATGGTATACACGCAGAAGGCCCCCGTTCGATTCGGGGCTAGGTCATGCAAAATTATTATCCTTTTTTGTAACCCCACCCTAGCGAAAAAATCAAGCCCGTCTTTTGCCTTGATATTTTTAAATAATCATGCAGGTAAATAGGGCGTGTTTAGAGGTAGGAAAGACCTGGAGGCGGAGTGGTCCGCATCTGCTCGCGATGTTGAGAGTCGCCGGTTACCTGCAGAAGATCCCGTTCGATTCGGGCCAGGTTATCCTTGGCGGACGACGAAGCTTTTTTGTGGGAGAATTCCGGTTAGATGGTCGCCATGGCCAGGGCGGTGTTCAAAGAACATATACCTGGAGGCGGAGTGGTCCGCGTCTGCTCAAAATTGATCAGCGGGCTATGAAAGTGTAGAAGGTCTCGGAGCCAGGTCCTGGTGAAGCAACGAAGACTCTTCTATCACGAGTGACGGCGAGGGCTCTATAATGCAGGTATAAATGTGTTTTGAATGAGAGGGAGGAAGACCTGGAGGTGGAGTGGACCGCATCTGCACATTGTGATCATCCAGACATGGTATACACGCAGAAGGCCCCCGTTCGATTCGGGGCCAGGTCATACGAAATCTTTTTTTTTAACCCCACCCTAGCCAAAAAATCAACCAGATTTCTGCCTCGAGATTTTTCAAATAATCGTGCAGGTAAACAGGGCGTGTTCATAGGGAGGGAAGACCTGGAGGCGGAATGGTCCGCATCTTCTCGCGATGTTGAGGGGCGCAGGTTACCTGCAGAAGACCCCGTTCGATTCGGGGCCAGGTCACTGGGTGACGATGAGACCTTTTTGTGCCAGAATTCCCGGTAGATGGCCGCCATGGCCAGGGCGGTGTTTAAAGAGCAAAGAACTGGAGGCGGAGTGGTCCGCGTCTGCTCAAAATTGATCAGCGGCCATCAAAAGTGTAGAAGGTCTTAGGGCCAGGTCCTGTTGAAGCAACAAAGACTCTTCTATCACGAGTGACGGCAAGGGCTCTAAAATGCAGGTATAAATGTGTTTTGAATGAGAGAGGAAGACCTAGAGGCGGAGTGGACCGCATCTGCACATTGTAGTCGTTTAGACATGGTATACACGCAGAAGGCCCCCGTTCGATTCGGGGCTAGGTCATATGAACCCTTTCTTTTTTTTGACCCTACCCTAGCCAAAAAAAATCAACCAGATTTCTGCCTCGAGATTTTTCAAATAATCGTGCAGGTAGATAGAGCGTGCTCATAGGGAGGAAAGACCTGGAGGCGGAGTGGTCTGCATCTGCAAACAGTAGGGAATGCCATGAATATGTAAACAGAAGGCCTCCGTTCGATTCGGGACCAGGTCACTGATTGACGACGCGACTTTTTTGTGCCAGAATTCCGGTTAGATGGTCGCCATGGCCAGGGCGGTGTTTAAAGAGCATAGACCTGGAGGCGAAGTGGGCCGCGTCTGCTCAGAATGTAACGGATTTTCGTGTTGCTATGACGCAGAAGACCCTCGTTCGACTCGGGGCCAGGTCCTGTCAATGGAAGAAGTGATTTTTTTTTTTTCACGAGCGACGGCGAGGGCTTTAAAATGCAGGTGTAAATGTGTTTTGAATGAGAGGGAGGAAGACCTGGAGGCGGAGTGGTCCGCATCTGCACATTGTGGTCTTTCGAATGTGCTATACACGCAGAAGGCCCCCGTTCGATTCGGGGTCAGGTCATGGTCCAAATCATATAAGCCTTTTTTTTGACACGAAGGTGAACCATCACTGCGGCTTACAATTAAGGCACAAACGGTCCTGTGTTGGGCTCGGATTTCTCGAGAAGTGGCTAATATATATTCCAAGATTGAAGTTTTCTAGATGAAAGACCTGGAGGCGGAGTGGTCCGCGTTTGCTCAAAATCAATGTATGGGAAGCAATGCCCGTGCAGAAGATCCCCGTTCGATTCGGGGCTAGGTCATATGAAATCTTTGTCGTTTTTTTTTGTCCCACCTTAGCCAAAAAATCAACCAGATTTCTGCCTCGACATTTTCGTGCAGGTAAACAGGGCGTGTTTAGAGGTAGGAAAGACCTGGAGGCGGAGTGGTCCGCATCTGCTCGCGATATTGAGAGTGTCAGGCTACCTGCAGAAGACCCCGTTCGATTCGGGGCCAGGTCACTGGGGACGATGAGACTTTTTTGTGCCAGAATTCCGGGTAGATGGCCGCCATGGCCAAGGCGGTGCTTAAAGAGCAAAGACCTGGAGGCGGAGTGGTCCGCGTCTGCTCAAAATTGATCAGCGGCCATCAAAAGTGTAGAAGGTCTCAGGGCCAGGTCCTGTTGAAGCAACAAAGACTCTTCTATCACGAGTGACGGCGAGGGCTCTAAAATGCAGGTATAAATGTGTTTTGAATGAGAGAGGAAGACCTGGAGGCGGAGTGGTCCGCATCTGCACATTGTGATCGTCCAGACATGGTATACACGCAGAAGGCCCCTGTTCGATTCGGAGCCAGGTCATACGAAATCTTTTTTTTGAACCCCACCCTAGCCAAAAAATCAACCAGATTTCTGCCTCAATATTTTTCAAATAATTGTGCAGGTAAGTAGGGCGTGTTTACAAGGAGGAAAGACCTGGAGGCGGAGTGGCCCGCATCTGCATGCTGTAAATGGTACTTTAGTAACTGTACCTGCGCAGGCGTTCCCCGTTCGATTCGGGGCCAGGTCACTGGCAGACGACGAAGCCTTTTTTGTGGGAGAATTCCGGTTAGATGGCCGCCATAGGCAGGGCGGTATTTAAAGAGCATAGACCTGGAGGCGGAGTGGTCCGCGTCTGCTCAAAATGCAAAGGATTCCGTATTGCTATGACGCAGAAGACCCTCGTTCGACTCGGGGCCAGGTCCTGTGGGTGGATGAAGTGATTTTTTTTTTTCACGAGCGATGGCGAGGACTTTAAAATTGTATGGTTTAAATTATGCTCTGAATTGGAGGGAGAAAGACCTGGAGGCGGACTGGTGGTCCGCGTCTGCTCAGAGTGGAAAGATGAAACGACATTACGAAGAAGACCCCCGTTCGATTCGGGGCCAGGTCATACGAAATCTTTTTTTTTTAAACCCTACCCTAGCCAAAAGAAATCAACCAGATTTCTGCCTCGAAATTTTTCAAATAATCATGCAGGTAAGTAGGGTGTGTTTGCAGGTAGGAAAGACATGGAGGCGGAACGGTCCGCATCTGAAAACAGTAGGCAGTGCATTGAAACTCTGTAAACAGAAGGCCCCCGTTCGATTCGGGGCCAGGTCACTGGGGACGATGAGACCTGTTTGTGCCAGAATTCCTGGTAGATGGCCGCCACAGACAGGGCGGTGTTTAAAGAGCATAGACCTGGAGGCGGAGTGGTCCGCGTCTGCTCAGAATATAACGGATTTCGTGTTGCTATGACGCAGAAGACCCTCGTTCGACTCGGGGCCAGGTCCTGTGGATGGATGAGGTGATTTTTTTTTTTCACGAGTGACGGCGAGGGCTCTAAAATGCAGGTATAAATTATGCTCTGAATTGGAGGGAGGAAGACCTGGAGGTTGAGTGGACCGCATCTGCACATTGTGATCATTCAGACATGGTATACACGCAGAAGGCCCCCGTTCGATTCGGGGTCAGGTCATGGTCCAAATCATATAAGCCTTTTTTTTGTCACGAAGGTGAACCCTCACTGCGGCTTACAAGTAAGGCACAAACGGTCCTGTGTTGGGCTCGGATTTCTCGAGAAGTGGCTAATACACTACATTTTGATGGCCCCTCGACCAAGTTGGCCGATATGATGTCGGATATCGGCCAACTCGGTCGAGGCCGCTCGGCCAACCTCGGCCAACGTCAGCCGACATCGCACAAGTTGGCCGAGGGGCCATCAAAATGTAGTGATATTCCAAGATTGAAGTTTTCTAGATGAAAGACCTGGAGGCGGAGTGGTTCGCGTCTGCTCAAAATCAATGTATGGGAAGCAATGCCCGTGCAGAAGATCCCCGTTCGATTCGGGGCTAGGTCATATGAAATCTTTGTCGTTTTTTTTTGTCCCACCTTAGCCAAAAAATCAACCAGATTTCTGCCTCGATATTTTTAAATAATCATGCAGGTAAGTAGGGCTTGTTTATAGGGAGGGAAGACCTGGAAGCGGAGTGGTCCGCATCTGCAAACAGTAGGAAAGGCCATGAATATGTAAACAGAAGGCCCCCGTTCGATTCGGGGCCAGGTCACTGGTTGACGATCAGACTTTTTTGTGCCAGAATTCCGGGTAGATGGCTGCCATAGGCAGGGCGGTGTTTAAAGAGCATAGATCTAGAGGCGGAGTGGTCCGCGTCTGCTCAGAATCCAAAGGATTTCGTGTTGCTATGACGCAGAAGACCTCTGCTCGCGATGTTGAGAGTCGCCGATTACCTGCAGAAGATCTCGTTCGATTCGGGCCAGGTCACTGATTGACGACGCGACTTTTTTGTGCCAGAATTCCGGTTAGATGGTCGCCATGGCCAGGGCGGTGTTTAAAGGGCATAGACCTGGAGGCGGAGTGGTCCGCGTCTGCTCAGAATATAACGGATTTCGTGTTGCTATGACGCAGAAGACCCTCGTTCGACTCGGGGCCAGGTCCTGTGGGTGGATGAAGTGAATTTTTTTCTTCACGAGCGATGGCGAGGCTCTAAAATGCAGGTATAAATGTGTTTTGAATGAGAGGGAGGAAGATCTTCAGGTGGAGTGGTGGTCCGCATCTGCACATTGTGATCGTTCAAATGTGTTATACACGCAGAAGGCCCCCGTTCGATTCGGGGCCAGGTCGTGGTCTAAACCGTATACAGCCTTTTTTGTCACGAAGGTGAACCATCACTGCGGCTCACAAGTGTAAGGCACAAACGGTGCTATAATAAATCCTGTTTTGGGCTCGGACTTCTCGAGAAGTGGCTAATATTCCAAGATTGAAGTTTTCTGGATGAAAGACCTGGAGGCGGAGTGGTCGGCGTTTGCTCAAAATGTGTGGGGGAAAGCAATGCCTGTGCAGAAGATCCCCGTTCGATTCGGGGCTAGGTCATATTTTTCCCTTTTTTTTTCTCTCCCTTTTCCTAAGCTCAATCAGGTTTTTTCGATGTTTTTTAAAAACAATTATACAGGTAAACATCGACTGTTCATGGGTGGAAAAGCCCTGGAGGCGGAATGTATGGCGTTCAAAGTGCACTTTTAAAATTCCGCTACATATTTCACTATTTTTGTCATTTCCGCTACCTCTTTCATAAAATTCATGTTTGTCTGCTACTTATTGGACTTGAAAATGGACCAAAAGAGGGAGCGGAAAAACCTAGAATTTCCGCCGAAATCCCGCTACCTCTATTGGGGTAGTTTGTAATTCCGCTACTTTTACATAATTTTGTGATTCCGCTACTTTTACATAATTTTGTGATTCCGCTACTTTTCACTTTTCGGACTTGTGAAATTTTTTCAAAAAAAATAAAAATAAATTGAGAAGTCCTAGGGCCTAAACTACTCTACATTTAGGACTTCTTGTAATTTTTTTTTTTTTGCAAAAATTTCACAAATCCGAAAAGTGAGAAGTAGCGGGATTTTGGTCGCGACTGTCAAAAGTAGCGGAATCACAAAATTATGTAAAAGTAGCGGAATCACAAACTACCCCCAATAGAGGTAGCGGGATTTCGGCGGAAATTCTAGGTTTTTCCGCTCCCTCTTTTGGTCCCTTTGCAAGTTCAATAAGTAGCGGAAAAACATGAATTTTATGAAAGAGGTAGCGGAAATGACAAAAATAGCGAAATATGTAGCGGAATATTAAAAGTGCACTTTGAACGCCATAGGAATGGTCCGCGTCTGCACAACGTTACATGGATTGCACTATTTGCAGAAAACCCCCGTTCGATTCGGGGCCAGGCGATGCATAGAATCCTCCATCCTTTTGCATTCACGAGCGACAAGTAGGATGGTTAGATGTTTAACCCACGGCGCAAAAATGTAGGGCCTAAGGGTGTTTTGGATGAGAGGAAGGAAGACCTGAAGGCGGAATGGTCCGCATCTGCTCGCGATGTTAAGGGGCGCAGGTTACCTGCAGAAGACCTCGTTCGATTCGGGGCCAGGTCATCAGTTTTCCGGATACATTCTTTTTGTCTTTCGCCTGTATGTAATGTATGCTGAATGCACCATCACAACTTACTCGCTGATTGAAACAGTTCAATCGCGGCCATCACGTCCCCTGGCGAGACGGGCCGCGCCAAGGTAAGGAGGTAGGTAGGTAGGTAGTATTACACGGCACGGGCCGAATAACGAACGCCGGTTTCCAGGAATTATCCCGAAATATATTTATATACGCGCGGGTTCACCATCAGCGATTCCTATTCACGGAAATTCGCTGTTGCGCCGCACCAGCCCGCAACGGGCCGCGATCCTGTCATCACGCTCACGTCACGCGATTACCGCTGCCACCTTTCGCCCGCTTTCCCTTTCACCACCATGAGCGCCTCGTCCGACTCTGCCAGTGCTCCCGCGAACGACGAAGACGAAGGCCGAATTCATGAAACTAAGGACTCGACGATGATGAAGGCATCCACCAACGGGAAGAAAGGGGCGGCGGGGGATGAATCTGTGGCGAAAACGGCAGCAGCAGCGCCCGGGTTCTTCAGCTGGGTGCTCCCCGCGGTCCGCACACGGCGCACGCTCAAGACCTGGCTGCGCTGTGTACTCGCTTTGGCGGGCGCGATGACTTTGCTGGTTGACAATGCGACGCTGAATAGTATGGGGTGCGTGCCAGCTTCTCTCTGCTTGCTGCCAACGCTGACTTGGATTCGTGCGTTGCAGGCAGGCGGGATTCTTCGCAGCGTACGTATACGCCTCCTCTTGAGGCGTATATAGTGGGACTAACGCGCGTATATGCATGACACAGGATCGTAGCCGTCCTCCTCCCGCCCTCGCTCGCGCTCTCCGTCTTTGTGTTCGCCAGCGCTACCCTCCTCATCGGTCCGTCCTCCCTCTTATCTCCAATTCGCTTCCTCGCCTTGCTGATGCACATTGCGCCCAGGCATGCTGCTCGGCTGGGCATGGGGCGCCGCCATCATGGCCGCCGCCCACGCGGCGCAGAACAAGACGTGGCTCGCCGCGCGCGAGGCCGCCGCTGAAAAACTGCTCGTGCCTGGTATCGACCCCGCGCTGCAGGTGCGGACCAGTTTCCCTCTTCCTTTTTTCCTTTCCCCCCTCTTCATTTTTTTCGACAACCGCTTTTAATTTTCAGTGCTTACGATCCCTCCAGCTCCGCATCCTCGTCTTCAAAGGCTTCTTCCTCTCCCCGCGCACCTCGGCGGTGTACGGCGCCCTCTTCACCCTCGGCACCTTCGTCTTCGGCGCCCTCCGCGCACGCGCGCCGAAGCTCCAGCTGCTATGTCTGTTTGGGACGATCGTGCTAGATGTGGTGGCGACGACGGGCCCGCGTGCGTCTTGTCTTTTCTTTCTTCCTTGCTTTCTTTTTCTCTTGGAGTTCTTCATGTCCCCACCCGGTGCCGAATGTTTTGTTTTCGCGTCCCCTCCCCATTATCATTTAATTTTTTCGTCTCACTGACGTACGCAAAAACACAGTCCTCCCAACCCCCATGTATACCCTCCCGGAGCTCTTCCTCCGCCCCACCGCGTACTACCTCGCCATCGCCATCACGTCCCTGGTGCTGGTCTTCCCGCAGAGTCTGAACTGCGTCTGGCTGTGCGTGATTTTCTTTTTCTTTTTCGTTTTCGTTTTTTGGTCAATGGCTGGCGCTGACATCATTTTTTGGGATGCAGGACGACGTTGGACGGGGGGGTGTTCGGGGTGCGTTGCGTCACTTCTGAATGCACTTACTTACAAGTTCCTAACGAACGAACGACCTACAGCCCGCGAAATCGATCCTGTCCCTGCAGGCCACCGCGCTCGACACGCGCCCGTCGGACCGCGAGGCGTGGGCGGGCGTTGGGGGGGAGGTGTGTTGTTTTCTTTGTGTTTTTTTTCTCTTTATGCGGCGTTTTCTTTATGCGGCGTTTTCCTTGCTTCGACTTTACTTTCCTTCGGTTTCGGTGTCGATTTATTTTGGTGTCCTGCGATTTTGGTGTCAGTTTATTTTTTTGACCGCTTGACACACCCGGAGATGGGATACCCGCGTGCCGACTAAATGCTAGCGCGCGCGGCGCGGGCTTTTAGAATTGACTTCCGCTTTCCGCTATCCGCTATCTCCGCTTTCCGCTACCTCCTTACACGTTACATGAACCCGCTATCTTTCTTTCCTTATACGTTACGTCACATCAACGTAAACTTACGGCACCCCCAGGCGGCCTCCGCGCGCGCGGCCCTCGGCGGGGGGCTCGCGGCGCTCAGCGGGCACATCGCGCTTATTGACCTCGAGGTGCGTTTTTGCTGTTTTGCTTTTGGTGGGCGATGGAACACGATATACACGGCAGGTGAGCGTCGGCCGGCTGGGCCCCGCGGATTTGAAGCGGCTCGCGCCGGAGGTGAGGGGGCTGGGGTTGAGGGTTGCGTGAGTTTTTTTGTTTTGTTTGTGGGGGTTCCTCGATTTCAACCCCACTCCCTACGGCAAACTGACGAACAACACACAGGGGCCTGATGGCGTTCCACACCGCCGTGGCGACGGGACATCTGGACGACGCCGTGGCGGATGCGTTGAGTGGCGATAAGAACCAGGATGGGAACAACGAAAACGGAAAAAACAAACCCTCTCACGAAAGCCGCTTTGCGCGCCGCCGGCGCCTCATCCGCGAGCGTGAGGCGCAGCACGGGCACGACCTCGACACGCTCGTCCCCATCCTCGCGTCCGCGTCCGCCCCCCTGCGCGCCGCCTCCGAGGACGCCGCCGCGACGCTCCGCGCGTGGTTCGTTGATTGCAATCAGCGGCGGTGGACGGGGCTGCTCTGGCGCGTTACCGGCAAGCAGGGGGATAAGGCGGAGGTGGAGAGGGTGGAGGGGAGGCAGAGGGGCCTGGTGGAGGCAAGGGACAAGTTGGAGGGGGCGTTGAAGGCGTTTCGGGAGGGAGAGCGGGCGAGGCTGATTAGGCCGTATGAGCGGTTTTTTGATAAGGAGACGGGGAGGCTTGTGGAGGGGGGGAAGGTGTTTGCTTTACGGTGCGTGTCTGGCAAGCGGAGCACTTTGGGGAATGCGATGCTGACGGCATTTGGGTGGGCAGGTCGCTGTTCATGTGCTTCGTGTTCTGCGACACACTCGACGTGTTCGCGGCACGGCTGCACCGCGTGCTGACGCTCGTCACGGAGCTCGATAAGAAGCGCCCCGGCGTGAGGGTGTGGATGCCGTCCGGGTTCGGGAAGATTGGGCGGAAGGTGTTTAGTCGTGGGGAGGAGGGCGCGGTGGAGGCGCAGCCACTGGCGATGGGCACGGAGAGCGACCCGACGCAGTTTGGGGCGCCGGAGAGCAGCGATGGGGATGCGGAGGAGGACGCGGAGGAGGGTGAGGCGCTGCCGGCACGTGAGTGCACTACCCTTCCTCGCTGCCTTAATGGATAGCTGATAATTGACACTGCCGGCAGCCCGCAACCCCGACGCACGCGCGCCGACCTCCGCGCTAGGCCGTTTCTTCGTCGCCGTCGGCGCGTCGCTTCGCTTCTTCAAGACGCCCGAGGGCATATTCGCGCTGCGGCACGCGGCCGTGTCGCTCGCGCTGTGGGTGCCCTCCGTCGTCCCGCACACAGCGAACTTCTACTACGAGAACAAGGGCCTGTGGGCGCTTATCATGGCGCAGTCGGGCTTGGCGCCCTTTGCGGGCGACCAGCTCGCGGGCCTGGCGGCAAGGCTCCTAGGCACGATTGCGGGCCTGTTGAATGGGATGGTGGTGTGGTATATTGCGGCGCCTGGGAAAAGGGATGGGAATCCGTATGCGGTTGTGGTCGTTACGGTGCGTCCTGCCTTTCTTTTTTTTTTGGAAATGAGATTCAAGAGTGTGCTGACGTGGGGATTTTTTGAAGGCGGTGTTCACGGCGCCGTTTCTGCTGGCGCGGCTCGCAGCGCCGCCGGCGCAGATGATGGTCTGGACGATGGTGGGCGTGA